CACCATTTTCTCATTGTAAAATAGGCAATCGAATTTATAAGCATAGGCTTGTAATAAAAGATGTAGCTACTAGGTTTCGTCATAGTTTTGCTTTAACCAATAAATCATTTGCACAAGTGGCCAAGGCATTTCAGAAAATTTATGATGATCCAAATTGTCCTCTTATTTGGCCAAATGTTTTAATCATTGATAGAGGTACTGAGTTTATGGGCGAATGTAAGGATTTATTGCTTAGACATGATGTAAAAATTCAGTATGCCAACTCTAAACATGCTGTAGCTATTGCTGAACACAACCATCAAGAATTGAAAAGCATGCTTATTTTCAGCAAGATGCTGTAGATTTTCATTTACCTTTAACTGATAGATCCAGAGCGTAGATTAAGGGACTTCGTATAAATGATAATATTTACAATAATTCTTCTACTCGGTTAATAGCCTGTCTTCTAACAAGGCTATAAAAAAAGCATTAAAAGGCAAAAAAATAATAGCTAGACCTTCTGTCAAATATAAGAGACCAGTTGGTTATAATGAACCACTTTTATCTAGCTATACTGAAGTTCGGCATCTATTAGAACCCAGTGAATTGGAAGGTGGGAGAAAAAAGGCAACTGATTGCAATTGGTCTCCCGAAGTCTTTACAATTGATTCTTATTTGATAAAAGAAAACCAACCTATTCTTTATAAGCTTTACAATGGTCCTAGATGATCATTTGTAAGAGAAGAACTTCAAATTGTCCTGCTAGATACAATGTTACCACCCAAATACATTCTTAAGCATTAGACTTGCCTCCTCTTTTCTCTACTTGGTATAAGATTTGTTCGAATGCACTGCTTAAGTAGTTATCTATTTCTGATCGATTATATACTATAATTTGTTTATTTTGTAACCAATCAGTTCTTGAGTTCTTTTTCTTATCTTTTTCTTTATCTCCTGGTTTGTCATCTATAAGGAATTTTGTAAGAGAACATAATGAAAATTTGAATTGACCTCGTTTATCAAACTCTTTTTCAAGCAATTCCCGAAATAGTTTTCTCTGACTCTCTAACATTTTTCTGATATTGCTCCCATTATCTTGATGATATCTTGAAACTTTTGCATTATATACGGCAACAGCTCGTCTTTTTAATGCTGGTCCCATGTTTTGCTCTCTAAATATTATACTTTTTTTATTATCCCCAGTAATCATACTGAGACACTCAAATTCTTTATCTGTCTGGTCTATTTTCAAAGAAATTTTTCTAGATTGTTCGTTTTTTCCCTCCTGATGTGCTTGAGTTTTTGGACCTGGACCAGCTTTAGAAGAGTCTATAACTTGTCTCTCTATTTCAGGTTCTCCAAAGAATTCTTGTTCTTCTTTCGTCTGCTTTGTAAGTTCTATATTATCATATGCTTTTTCATCTATTTGTAATAAAGTATCATAAAGAACTTAACAAGCTCTTAAAGTTCGTGGTTGTTCATAATTTTCATAATATAATTCCTTATACCTTTTTCGTAATCTTGAGCCCCATTGTTTAACAGTTTTATCTAGCTTTCTGTCATTAGCATTTTTTACTACTTAAGATAAGTTTTCAAGTAATATTTTAGAATTTTGCTCTGGCAATAGCTCTAGATTTTGTATCACTTCAGCTATATCTAAGACTTTTGGATTTCTTGATATAGTCAAAGTTCTTTGGTGCTGAGGTAAAAGTACTGGAGAAATGAAGGGTCTGCATGGATTCTTTCTATTAAGATACTCACAAAGTTTTTGTAGTATTGTACATGGATGCCTACAATGTTCACAAGTTCCATTTTTCTTGTCTTTTCTAGCCATAGGTAAAGTCTAACAGTTGTGCTATATTTTATTTATACAAAATCTTTTCTTTAAATAATTAATTCATATCATATATTCAAAAAAATGATTGGTGAGTATTTGTGCCCTACCTTCATAATTCTGGAGAAGCCTGTAGTAGAGCTTGTATTCGGCCTGAAGGGTACCGGTTTCATTGGAAAGCTAAAAAGCATATCCCCTGTACTGATTGTGGTAAGCCTACTGGTTCAACTTCTGGTCAATATCTATTACATATCAGAAGTTATTATATTACCCAATATTATAATAAACTTCGATCAAATATATGAGAAAGAACTTATGAAGAAATAATAGATTCCCATAAAAACACGCTTGCAATTCTTAATATTTCTCTCTGTAGAGAATGCTTCTATTTGATAAAATTAGAAGAATATTGTAATAGTTGTTAGCCTGAATAGGTATAACAAATAAATATTTCAGCTAACTCTCACTCTATACCTAAATTTTTGACAGAATTTTTGTTAGATTTATTATTTTTTGTTATTAGATTTAATTTGTATATTAGAAACTTGATCTAAAGTACTTATAAAGCAGAAATAATACATTGATTTTTATTGTTCTAGAAGCTCTAGCTAAAAAGGATTTTTAACGTTAAAATGATTTTTGGAATTGTTCTTGATATATAATTTTGATTAGACTTTGAATTTTTTCATTAGACTTGACTTGTATATGAAAATCATATTTTATAAAGATTTAACATATATCTAGCACTATAATATTTTTCTGTTCTAATTTCCCATCAATATACTAAATTTTCAGTTAGACTTTGGTTAGATTTAATAATTACTATGCATTTTAGCTTGCAAAAAAAATATAAAAAGCATAAAACAAATATATGATTTAACTTAATTTCATTAGATTTTAATAGGAAGTAGGATAGCATAAAAAAAAATCTAATGAAAATGTATTATAAAACATAAAACTTGCGTCATTTTGGTTAGACTTATTTGACCATAAAAATCTAACTAAAATCATTATTGAATTTGATGTTCTAGGAGAGTTAAACTTGGGAATTTATATACAAAATTCTATCCCAAAACCCCCAAAAGACATTGTGTTAGCCATAGATAACTTACAAATACGAAGTCTTTAGGGATTAGACTCATCGATAAAGTCGAGTTATGTCTTGAAATAAGTTCTACCATTAAGTTATTGGTTCCCGTAATTATTACAATCATGTATGAATCACCAAACTTGGGGACGATAATAGAGTTACCCACATTGTTTCAATTGTTCTGAAGAACAAAACACATTTAGTTATTATCAAAGTATTACATAATAAGTGGGGAAACAAAGTGATTCTTACAAGGGAAAGCAGTTGAAAAGATTTTGTAAAAGGTGTAAAGTATATAACGAGAGAAATAATAGCCTAACAATTGAATAGTGTATTAATTTATGTAAACAATTTATGTATTTAAAGACACAATTTTGATCTTTAATAAAGTTTCTTCAGACTTTGATCTTTTATATTTAAAATCATATACTTGTCATATTATCAAATTTTCACCCTTTTGTTCTGATTATCTTATCGTGAATACATCTTTATAGCATTCTCTATAATCATTTATCATGAACTCACTTTCACAGCTCTATTAAAATTCTTAAATATTGTTATTTATATGTGGCCCATGCTTGGCCTTATTGTTAAAATTACTTAGAAATAACCTGCATCATTATTAATCCTGATTCAATTACTTAAACTATCGTGCTTACTATAAATATCTTTATTATATTACTTCTTTTTATCATACATACATCCCGATATCCCTATTGTTAAGACAGCTTAACGATCCTACATATCTACCTATTCTATCATATAAGTATTATAACAATAATTGATCACCTATTGTTGTCGCTATCTTACTTCAATTTATCACCTATTATTAATCCATATCATCCCAACTCTATATAAAGAAATCTCATTTTCTAATTAGTCTAACTATTATTTACTATCGCTGATCTAATTCCGGTCCACTTACTGATGTTCTCCCAAATTTCTGATAGTAATATCGTATACAAATTTGTACACTAAAATATTTTGAAGAAAATTGTGCATTAAAAAAAATTTTTTTATAAAATTTTTATTTTAATTGGTTGTAATGATTTTTCAAGACCCAAGTTACATAGCATACCTGCAGCTACAGTATAAAATATTCTATGTAACCTGGTTGAAAAATAAAAATTTATATAACTAAAAAATAGATTATTTTACCTATACATTTGAGCCATTTTATCTTTTTAATATTATTACAAAAATCAATTATATGAAGTTGGTTATGAAAAATCTTTAATCAACTTTAAAAAAGGAAATCTCTGTATAACAATTGTAAAAAATTTTATATATTATATGAAAATATCTTTTTAGTATTAAATTTGGATATAAAGATCTTATAGTTAATATTAAATAATTAATTTTTGAAGTATTTATTAAAAAAATTTTATAAAATAAAAAGAGTTATATAATTTAGCGCATATGCGTTGTAACGCATCCACCTGATTGACCAATCAGATCGTAAGATCAGGTATAATGTGAAATCGAAAAAAATAGCGATATTTTGAAAAAATCGCTTGTAATTCATAATTTTGCTTATGAAACCACCTTTTGCGTTCTAACAAAAAAAATTCTTTGCAAAATTTTGGGTATAACTAGTATTTACCTAAAATCTAGCCTAACCATAAATTAGTGCTAACTCTTATTCTAAATCAATGCGGCATTAGTTTGTTTTGATTTCACGTTACACCAGATCTTATGGGTGCGCAAGAATGCATCCACGCAAAATAATATAATTCAAATAAAAATTATATAATAATCAAAATGCATAAAAAATAGATATGGTTTAATAAAATTTAAAATAAATATATAAAAACAAGTCAAAAATCATTTTAATACAATTTTTATATTAAATAATTTAAAAGATAATTTCAACCCCAACACATAATTCTGATTTTATTTTTTATTTATAAATATCTAACAAACTAAGTTAACTTTTGAAGTTTCTGAAGTTTATAGTCTTTATATTTACAGTAAAATATCTACTATATATTTTTAAAAATAAGCTATTTTAAAAATGAATTATATTGGTTTTTTTAATAAATCAAAGAAATTATATATTGTTTTATATATATAATTTAAAATTTTATTAAATAAACTGGTTTTGAGCTCTTAAATAAAGTTATTTACCGTATTTTTGCATAATAATGCCCATCTGTGTATTATTTTGAGTATATGCATATTAATTAGAGTATGCGCATGGGCGTTATTTTGAAGCAAGTTTTGATTTTTTGATAAACCTGATTTTCCAAATAATGCCCATATTATATATAAAAATTTATACAGCAGCAAGTTTCTTTTACCAGAGTTAATGTCACTCGCACAGTAGCAGCACATGGGAATAGCATTAACTTTATTGAAAAAAAAAATAGAAATTGATATTTTTCTTTATTTACCAATATTGTGTACTTAAATAATTACCTGATGGGATATTGATACTAAAAATCAGTATGAAAAAGTAATCAGTTGAAGGGGAGAGTAATCAGTTAGATACAAATTCATCATGTGAATTTATCTAACTAGCAAGTTTATATATCTCTTTTCTTTTTTAGGTTTTCATTTCCGATTAATATAATAATATCTCACAGCTATCTAAAAAAAATTCTTTATTTGTTACAAAATAGAAAGTTGCACATTATGATTTTATTAATTAATTTACCGTAGATTCCCGAAAATAAGCTACTCCGAAAATAAGCTATCTTCTTTTTCTGGAAGAAAAATGTAAAAACTTCTATTGCCCGAAAATAAGCTACTTATACGATTATCAGCAGTTACTCTATAGTAAAGTCGAAATTTTACTAAGTAAATTGACATGAC